CAACTAACTCTTTGATCCTAAATATTTGTGCTGATAATACTGGTTGCTATCCAGTTATGCTCCAGTCAACTTAAAACACCTCTCAAAATCCTCTTCAAGTTTTTCTCGTTGTTAAGGAGAAAAAAATCCACTCTGTAGAAAGATGCCAGCCAGCAACAGTCCCATACTTCTCTCAATCACCAAGCAGCCTCTGATCTTTAGTGTCTTTAGAAGAGACAAGTGGTTTCTCCTAGTCTATATGGTATACCATTTAGGTTCTATGCAGTAGGAGATTTAAAACGTCCTGGAGTATCCATCCTCTATACTCACTCTAGGACTTCTGTTTTCCTAGACTCATAGAGTCCAAGCCCGCCCTTTCCTCCAGGGGAGCAGCTGCCTGGAGATCTGTTGTAATTCTGAGAGAAGTCCAGTCCTTACCTTGAGGCTGGTAACCCTATTAAATGGGCATGATTTAAAGTAATGGCAGAAAAATTGTAACTTTTGATAATGTGCAGATAACATCATATCTCTTCATACGTTCTGGACAATTGTAAAGCAAACTCTGAGGAGAGATGGTTGTGAATGTGTTTATCTGGTTATGATTCTGAGCTCTTCTGTTTCGTCATTTCTTGGTTAATATCATCTTGCAATCCTGGGAGTATACAGAAAGGAGAGCAAGGGCACCACACCAGATGGTCATTGGCTTGGCTTATGTGTACAAATCGCCCTAGTTCAGTGGTGGAGAACCTATGGCACGCATGGCAGAGGCGGCACTCAGAGCCCTCTCAGTGGGCACGCGTGCCATCGCCCAGCCAGGCCCAGACCGTCATTAAAGTGTGGAATTCTCTGCCAAATAATTTTAAATAAATGAAAGCAGTTGGGATTGCTTTCCTTACTTTGTTTGGATCATCTTATGTTAATGTATGAGTTGTTTTTTCTAAACTAAAACCTCAGTATTCAGTTTAAATTGCCATGTTGGCACTTTGCGATAAATAAGTGGGTTTTGGGTTGCAGTTTGGGCACTCGGTCTCTAAAAGGTTCACCATCACTGCCCTAGTTGATAACTCTGGAAACTCCTCTTCCTTTGCACCTGTGCTGTTTGGGTTCCATCATTTCCTGGGTTGCCGGGCTTGGTCTGCCTGCTGGGTAGGTGGTTCTGTAATTTCTGTAATTGGGCTAGCCGGTGTTGTTTTGGTCATTTCCAATTTTGAGATCTACAGGAGGAAAATAATATTGAAAGCTATGGAGAAAAAGATGATAGAAAAAAGTTATGTGATTATATATAGATCGTAGCTTTTCACCGAGATTTTATCCCTACATAGCCCTATAAAGGCCACTGAGCACATGGCGGAGATAAATGCCTCTCTTTCAAAGCCCTCTGCTGGACCCCTACTTTGCAAAATAAAAACCTGATGCTGGGAATAACTGAATAACTGAGGTTGACTTTTGAGTTGTCTGAGGAACTGGGAGTTTTAGAGATAAAAGTTTGTTTAGGAGAATTGGCTTTAGGCTCCTGATCCAATCCTTCAAGAATCTGAACTTCAGGAGTGAGACACAGAACCAGCAAGTATAGCTGAGAGGTCTAGGAGGAGGATGAAGCAACATTCTCAAGAATCAGCAGCCAGTGTGGCAGTGCAGAGTTAGTCTGTAGTGTGTCCTGCCTGCACTATTACTCAATTAACTTTACAATTTTGCTCTCCAGAAACAGATATACCTTCATAGCTGTTTCTGTCTGCCTGGGCAGTAAACAAGCCTCTTCCCTCAGAGCATTTCCACCTTTTCCAGCATGTCAAGGCTTTTTAGTTGCAATATCCTTGGTGTTTTTGCTTATTTATTAATTTGAATATTTGCCTTTCTTCAGACAAACTGATGGTGGTATGATATTAATGTGAATCCATATGCTGTGAAAATAATTCAGGAAATTCTCAAAGAAGATCCAGAATCAAATGGATATTTCCTAAAGTCGTCTTCTTCTTCTTCATCATTATCATCAGTCAATCAGCAAGATAACTCATCCCAGGTCTGAGGTCCTTTTCATACTTTCCAACAAGATAATGGAAAGGTTAATGGAACAGCAAGTCAGCAAATAAGTAGCCCCACACATAATTCAGGTCATCAGTTGAAGGGTTCTTCCTCATACTCTGTACTCCAAATCATGCAGGGATTAATATATTTATTAAAAAGAAAGATATACATATCCTCATATAACATATGTGTGTGCGTTCTTCCTTAATTTATTGCAGTACCAGATATGACCCCGGAATTTCATGTATCACAAATTATATGGCAGTGGTCCTATTTCATAGTAAGGATGCAGGAGACGATGAAAATGGTGGACAAAGGGACTTTTTTTGTAGTTAGCATGGTGGCATCATCTCAAAATCTGAATGCTGGAGTTTTTCTGTTCTTCGACTGATTCTTCTGTTTATTCTTCATCTATGACAATGTGAAATACCCTCTCGTCTGACTTGGTAAATTCACCTGCTTTTCAGTTTGATATATAAAAAGTCAGTCTACAGTGGTCTTGGCTTTTATCTGAATGAACTCATTGGTTATTCTAGCCAGCCAATTACGCCGTTCATGAATCAGGGATCTATACCTGCAGTTTCCATCTTGAGCTACACAACAATTCTTGGGATCATAATTCCGTAATATTTTCAGTGGAGGTCGTGCATGAGGTATGCATAGAACAATAGCCTCTGGAAGAAACTTTGGATAAATTTTAGAGGACAAAACAATCATCTCTCTCTGTCTCCATCGGTATGCATGTATATACACAGACACAATTTCTTTTCATTCCCAATTACAGTAACCCGAGATAGTTACTATAGTCTCATAAAATAAACAAAGGGTTCTGTAACTTTCAGCCTCTCCCATCTAAATATTTTCATCTTTGTTTAAAAGTGGCCCCACTGCTAAATCAATTTAAGCTTCAGTTAGTTGATCTACTGATAAAACCATTTTGACTTGATCCAGTTTTCTTAAATTACCTTGAAACAACTTGCTTGATACATCTAATACATACAATGGCAAGTTATATGTGTATGATAGTATAAAGGTATGTGTTTGACAGAAAGTTATTTAATCTAGATATATATAAAATGCTAGCCGTGTTCCCGATGACTCACCTTACTACCTGATTGGGCCAGCCTTTTAAGGTCATTTGCATATGCGGGCTGATTGGGCCTCACTCCATTCTGTACATTATCCTCTCCCCCCCATAGGCAGTCAGAACACAGAGGTTGTTTGCATATGCAGCCTGACTGCCCTTCGCTGCCAACATTCTGTACAATTTGCTGTTGCTGTTGGGAATAATTGAATCTATCTTGAGATAAAATACATCTCCCAATTGTCTCCTAAATGTTCACTGGGGTTGCCAATCTCCCTGTGGGCCTTGGAGATCTTCTGGAAATGACTGTGTCCCCCAGCCACATCACATCATTTCCCCTACAGAATACGGGTGCCTTGATGCCACGCCAAAAAAGACAGAGTCCAGCCCTCAAATCTACAGGTATTTCCCAGCCCAGTTGGCAACCCTGTAACTGGCTATGAAACCGCCTCCCTCTATTTCCCCCTTCCCTCTGCCATGCCACCAGCCACAGCCAGGACACTCACCAGGAACCTCTTTCTAGAGCTTCTTGTATTTCTTCCCAGAACAGGCCTTTGTTGTTGTTCAGTCGCACAGTCGAGTCTGACTCTTCGCGACCCCATGGATCAGATCACGCCAGGCCTTCCGTCCTCTGACGTTTGCTCAATTTCATGTTCGTTGCATCGATGACACTGTCTAACCATCTCATCCTTTGCCGTCCCCGTCTTCTTTGCCCTTCAATCTTTCCCAGCATCAGGGTCTTCTCCAGTGAGTGCTCCCTTCTCATTTGGTGGCCAAAGTATTTGAGCTTCAGTTTCATTATCTGGCCTTCCAGGGAACAGGCCTTACTCCTAGTTAAATCATAACTAAACAACATATTATTTAATATTAAGGCTGTCAACCAATGCTCCCTCTAAGCTGTAGAGTCTTGTGAGCAAAAATTCTACTTTGTGAGCTACGGGCATGAAAGTTGTGAGCAAGTGATTTGGCTACTGCATAAATCAGTTCGCTTTGGAGCCATCCTTCCTGAACTAAGACAAAAATCTGTGAGCTGGAGGCTAAAAAACTGTGAGCTAGCTCACACTAACTCAGCTTAGAGGGAACACTGCTGTCAACATGTTAAATAATTAGAGTTGATTTATAATTTTGCTGTGAACCAGTGAACTGGTTACTAACCTCTCCAAAGAAGTCTATTTAACAGATTGAAGGAAGTGTGTGATATCTTATGATTTGTGTAAAGAAAAGCTACCACTGATTAAAAACCTGCCCCAATGTAAAAACATAGACATAAGTTAATAGAGAGGCCAGTAAGGTGGACTTGATGGGCCTCTCCTTTGGGCTGCAAGTGAAAAGTAATGCTCACTTGGTCCCTTGTTACTACACAGCAAAGTGGAAAATATTATAGGTGTTCCTAGTGGGAACACATCTCTGCAATACTAAGAAAGCATAAAACCTTTTGAATTGATAGCTCTAACCCACAGCTCTGTGGAAGCCAAATGACGTTCATCTAGGTTCATTAGAGGCCTTTTAAAATCCATTTTTTACTTTGTCTGGTTTGTTGATCAGTACTATGATTGTTCCAGACTGTTGGTCTAAACCCTCTGAACTAACTTTGCCTGGAGTGATGCTAGAAAATAATATAATGAAACTACAGGTAAATTACAGAACACAATTATAAAACAAATCCGAAAAATCAAAAAATGGAAGATAAAAATGTATTGGGCATTTATACTAATTGTCACAAGATGTCGCTGCCCACTGAAAACTGAAAGGCTCTTCCTGACAAAGATCAAAGCCCCTCCCAGCCACACAAGTAAGAACAAGAGACTGTACGAGGAAGATGGAATGGATACTGCAACATTTCTCACCATTTAAGGTCAGATCTGGAGAGTGGATATAATATTTAAAACCAGGAATATAACCTACCGTTGCTATGGTTGTTGTGCACCGATGCCTCCTGGTGAGATCCTGGCTGCTGCAGGTGATTCTGCTCCACACCGCTTGTGAAATGGGGAGTGGGCAGCTCCATTATTCTGTTCCAGAAGAATCCCAGCATGGCGCCTTCGTGGGCCACATTGCCCAGGACCTGGGACTAGAGGTGGGTGAACTCATGCCTCGGATGTTCCGGATGGTGTCCCAAGGCCGCAGAGACTATTTTGAAGTAAACCTGCAGAATGGGATTTTATTTGTTAATTCCCGGATAGACCGGGAGGAGCTATGCGCCAAGATGCCGGTATGCACCATTCACCTGGAAGTGATCCTGGATAAACCCCTGAGAGTCTTCCATGTGGAAGTGGAGATCAAGGACATAAATGACAATGCGCCCCTATTCCCGGCAGCTGAGCAAAATCTGGTTATTGCAGAGTCTAGACCTCCAGGCTCATCCTTCCCACTAGAGGGAGCCTCTGATGACGACATTGGTTCAAACTCTCACATCAGCTACAAAATCAGTCCAAATGAACATTTCACCTTGGATTATCAAAACAGCAAGGAACCCGGTGAGTCTTTAGTTATTGTATTAAGGAAACCTCTTGACAGAGAGCTAACTCATGTGTATAATTTATTACTAACAGCCACTGATGGGGGCAAACCAGAGCAAACTGGCACTGCTCATCTGGTGATCAATGTGCTGGATGTAAATGACAATGCACCCATTTTTAATCAGTCTGTGTATAAAATAAAACTTTTGGAAAATGCAAAAATAGGAGCAGTAATTGTTAGTCTCAATGCAACAGATCTTGATGAAGGAATTAACAAAGATATCACATATTCAATACGAAGTGTAAATCCAAACAATTTAGGAACATTGATTAATTTAGATCCAAGTAATGGACAAATGAGATTAAATGGAGAACTTGATTTTGAAAGCATTAAATTGGGTGAAATTGGAGTAGAAGCAACTGACAAAGGCATCCCACCAATGAAAGGACACTGCAAAGTTCTGATTGAGGTTTTGGATGTGAATGACAATGCTCCTGAAGTGACTGTGTCGTCCTTGTCAGTGCCTGTGCCTGAGAACTCTCCACCGGGGACAGTGGTGGCCCTCATCAGTATCTCAGACAGGGACTCTGGGGCCAATGGGCAAGTGACCTGTTCAATGTGGCCCTCTGGGCTCCCTTTCAAGCTGACATCCACCTTCAAGAATTACTACTCACTCGTACTGGCTAAGCCACTGGACCGGGAGCAGGTGGCTGAGTATAGTTTGGTGGTGTTTGCCCAAGACCAAGGGGACCCTCCACTGTCAGCCAGCAGCAGCCTGGTGGTGCCAATCAGTGATGTGAATGACAACGCACCCACTTTTGCACAACCCTCCTATACTGTTTTCGTGAAGGAGAACAACCCACCTGGTGCTCACATCTTCACGGTGTCTGCCTCGGACCCAGATGTGGCGGAGAATGCCTTGGTCAGCTACTGGCTGGATGAGAAGCTCTGGCCGCTGTCGAGCTACATCTCGGTGCATTCGGAGAGTGGGAAGCTGTATGCCCTGCAGCCCTTGGATTACGAGGAGGTGAAGCTGCTGGAGTTCCGGGTGAGGGCCAAGGATGCTGGGCTGCCCTCCCTGTGTGGCAACGTGACCGTCCAGGTCTTTGTGTTGGATGAGAATGACAATGCACCTGCAGTGTCTGGTCCAGCAGAGGATACCCCCAGTCTGCTGAAGGTTCCAGTGGCAGCTGGGTATGTGGTGGGCAAGATCCATGCCCTGGACGCTGACTCTGGCTACAATGCCTGGCTTCGCTACGAGTTGTATGATGCAACCAGCAGCCCCTGGCGGGTGGGGCTTTACAGTGGTGAGATCAGTACTGCACGTGCTCTGGAGGAGGCAGAGGGCAGCAACATCCAGAGTCTGCTGGTTCTGGTGAAGGATCATGGCAAGATGGTACTGTCAACTACAGCCACCTTCAGTGTGTCACTGGTGGCCAGCGCCCAGGCTGCCCAGACTGATGCCCGCCTCTCTAGGATGGGAGGGAGTGCAAAGCCCCTGGCAGACACTGCTAATCTCTACCTGATCATTGCCATCTGCTCAGTGTCCAGCTTGTTCCTGCTGGTGATCCTCGTGTATGTGGCACTGCGATGCCAGAGCCAGGCCAAGGAGGCAATGATGTATGGTCCTGGCACAGCCACGCTGGTGTGTGCCAGTGAAGTGGGCAGCTGGTCGTATTCCAATCGCCACAGCCACATCCTGGCAGGGGTGAGTGGGGAGCCTGGTGCCAAAAATGACCTCATGGTGTTCAGCCCCAACATTCCTGTCTTGACTGGGAGTGGGAAGGAGCTGGTCCCGAATGCTGCTGGGCAGGTAAGTCTCAGAAGGGAGATTAATTAATTATCAATTATGTAACCAACATTTGTGTATACAATATATATACCCACCTTAACATAGTCTTGATGGAACAAATTATCTGATGACTCAAAATTAATGTCTTTAAGGGATCACTGTGTTTTGTTTCTAGTTACTCAGCATTCACTTTTACCACTTCTTTTAGAATGGAAATCAACCATAATATGTGCTTGGTCACAAAGCCAATACAGTTCACACCATTAAGAAAACTTGGTTGCTGAAATTAAAAATGAAATTGCGGGTGCCATGTTTGGTTTTTAGTATTTAATTTGAAAATTATTACATAATTTCACAAACCTAATTCTTTTTTCATAGGTGGCATAGGTTGACCTCACTCTATTGGTACTTAAGTGTAGTTTCTTAATCAGGTCATTTTGTTTTGTTAATGTGATCCCGATTTTGAAATTCTATCCCCCCCCCCCAAAAAAAACCATTTTACTGCTCCTGATCAGCCTTTTATTGCCAGTACCCCCCATTCCCAGTTCCAAGCATGTTTGTGATGACTGTCATGTGCGGAACTCCTATGGGTGGGTGTGAGTGGGGAGAGGCTCTGGAGCAATTTAGAATGAAGGAATGGCAAGTGTCCAGGACATGAGAGAATGGCTTTGAATGGGCACCAGTCCTAAAATCAGGGGTCGTTTCGTAGAAAAAGAGCTAGGGGAACTCATTAGCATAACTCATTAGCATATGCCACACACCCCGCCAAGGCCCTCCCTGGCCCCAGGCAGGCAGGGGTGGGGAGAGGCAGGGAGGAAGCAACTTACCCTTCCTCTTCTCCTGCCTCCTCCTGGCTGAATGAGGGCCGGAAGTGGGGCGGCCGGAAGCAGGGGGCGGGGCTTCGCCCCTGCACCTTACACGGGGAACTGCGATCCCCCGCGATCCCCCCCGAATCGATCTCTGCCTAAAATAATGCCAGAGTTGGACGGGGTTTCTTTTTTTGCTTCCTCTGTTTCTCTGAACTTTTATATGATCACAGTGACAGAATATCTGCAAAGCCCTGAAAACTTTTCTGTCACAAATTTCCCCCCAGTAGAGAAAAAAGAAGCTTGTCTCCTCACCACCCATTTTCAGCCCCAGAAGCTGCATTTTGTTTTTTAAAAGTCGTTGTTGCTGTCGTCGTTGTCATCATCACCACCACCACCATATTAGCCTTTATTGGCATAAAGCAATACATTAAAAGACTATTACAATAAATGAAAAAATATACATCGAAGAAATCATTTTAATATTGCATAATATTGCATCACACCATTTGTTACAGAGTGTTACTCATTTTGGTAATTTTTCCTTTTTTTCTTTTCTTTCATCCCCCTAGGGGGAGGTTTTTATTGGGTTTTTTTCAGACTACAAAACTACAACAGAAAATATAGGAAAGGGTACTACATCTAGGGAATAAAGAAAAAAGACCCACAACTAACTAAAAACCCAAGAGTAGGAGATCATACATCAGCTTAACACCATGCTATTTTCAAAAAGCTACTAATAATACAATGAACTTAGTCGGTTATGCTAGATTAATTATCGTTTAACCATCCCTTTAACTGTTTAAAGAAATTCCCAGAGCATCCCCAAGTTATTTCAACATTTTTTCAGGCACAAATCAGAGTTCTTCAGCCCTTATTTATTCTTATCTTTTCTAATCCTCAGTTTATAAGGGCTTTTGGGGGCAGCCGCCCCCTTTTCAGAAGGGGAGTCCTCGTCCGGAGACTCCGAGCCCAACTCACCTTCAGATTTGCTTTCTTTTTCCTCCTCTTTGCCCTCTTCTGGTTCCCCACGCTGTGTCCGTAATTTGGTAATTTTTCCTGATGTAACTTCATAGCTGATTGTAAAAATACGGCTACCTTCATTGATATTTCAGGAGTAGAATCATTCAGAAGACGGTACACTTTTAGAGCATCAGGAAGATTCGTCATGTTGTCATATAGAATTTAAAAATCTGAAATGTATATCTACATAAAATTGACAATGCAAGCAGATATGTGAAACTGTCTCAATACATCCAGAGTTACAATGGCAAAGTCTAGCCGTATATACTGTGTTATTATATCTCCCATGTAGAATTGCTGATGGTATTGCATTAAATCTTGCTGTAAAAAGATTTAATGACTTTAGAAAGAATAACATATAGTGTGAAACACATAAAATACAGTTCGGCTCCAGAGCCATTCTGCATGTTTTAAAATACAAGTAAGCTTTCCTGTAAAATGGTATTTGTGGCATCTGTGCTCTGCAGATGGTAGAAGAGGCTGTTCCTGAGATATTACATGCAGCCTGGCCTAGGAATGGGTGCTTGGCTGGTATACTTGGTAGGTTTGCTGGTAGAAATGAGTTTGACACAGTTTGGTTACTTTTAATCAGTTCAAGCCAAATTTGTAATGTTTTGAACTACTTTGTTTACTGTTGCAGCGTCAAAATCAGAGGTCATTTCGGGGGGGATCGCAGTTCCCCTGGGTGAGGTACGGGGGCGGGGCACATGACAAAGCCCCGCCCCCTGCTTCCGGCCGCCCTGCTTCCGGCCCTCATTCAGCCAGGAGGAGGCAGGAGAAGAGGGAGGGTAAGTTGCTTCCTCCCTGCCTCTCCCCACCCCTGCCTGCCTGGGGCCAGGGAGGGCCTTTGCGGGGCTTCCTTGCACTCCCGCTGGCCTTGCAGGTCCACTGCCGGG